TATATATATATAAAACGATACGCCCGATCATCTTCCCTCCCCTCCTCGTAATTAGATCCTCCGAAACAGCGCAAGATTTCACGTGAACAACGCGTTATATCATAACGTTATATCATAACAATCCGTGCGTTGGGCTATCGCCGCTACCGACCGCGTCACCGAACATATTCGCAGAATCGCCGAACCCGTTCGGCGAATCTCGTAAATCTTCCGGCAGAATCATTCCCGGCGGAGTCAGCTCCAGAATTCAAGTTCGGCCGACCTGTTACCCGATTCTTTTCGATTTACGGCCGACTCGGCTATATTAACTGACTCCGACGGGTGATTTTCGCCTGTTCCCGGCGAGACAGCAACCAGTCCAGTGCTGATCTCGGTGAGTACCCATTCTGATACTTGAAAGCGATCGTAAGGTACTACCTAGAAAGCCAGAAGCTTCTGGCGGATCGCTCCCGTCTCCGAAGCACACAAGCACACAATTATTCACAAGTTAAGGCGCTTCTTACTCTAACTTGGCCTCTTAGAGTAGACTCTTGTATGCAAAATCCGTGACAGAATAGGAAACTTCCTGTCTCCGTTGCAGCAAATTCTAAATCCCGATTCCGGCCCGAAAATCCGTTCTGAATAAAGATTTTGACGCGACGAGACTTTGACAATTAATAGCCGATCGGCGACGCGATCAACACCGCGTGGTCTCCCCCCCCCCCGCGCCCACGATCGCGACACGCTGAATTCTCGGAAAGCCGCGAATTAAGCTATTATACGAAATTCCCGGAATTCGCGAACATTTTCGGTGAACAACGACTGAGATTCCGAGAACGAAAACCGAAAACATACTTAAACATATATATATATATATTGTAAATAGCAATCAAAACTAAGATTGTGGAAGCCAGTCAGTAACTGTACATAATTTTCTAGTTTAAGAATATATAATTAATACAAAATCCTCTATATTTTATTTCTCTATCGAAATTCTCTCTCTTCTTGAGCAGGACTGATGCTATCCCGCAAAACTATGAGAGCGAACCGCGAATCGACGTGTAATCGTTTTATTTATATATATATTTATGCATTATATATATAAATAAATATATATATAAATATATATATTAATAATATATAATGCAAATTATCATATATTTTGCACTATACATTTGTAATAATTAATATAATATATTTTCAATGAAAAAAATTCTTTCAATAAGATCGAAACAAAAGGCATCATGGCTTACTATATTTGCATTACGGTTATTAATGCAAATTATGATGTTCGGTTAAGAAATTATTGTTGATCAAAACTTAATGATTACTCTAGGAATCATAATAATGTATATAATTCCTAAGAATCGATAATCGTGTTCCGATGTTTCGTGAATCACATTTAATTTCTTCAAGTTATTGTTTTACGTAAAACTCTATTTAAATTGAAAAAAAAAAAAAGCTTAACGTCTCGTGTTTATTTTGTTTTCAATACATTTTGTATATTGCTAA